TCATGATCAGTGATTAGCTTCTCTCAGCACTTCTGTTCTCATCAGAAAATGCAAATACACCTGCCAGAGAGTATTATCAATCTTCCTGACTTCTCTGGTCTGTCTGACTGTTTCAAGCCAGTAACCCTTTAGATAACTCTGAATTAGAACCCATTATGCTACCAGAACTAGACAATGACACTTTTGGCAAGCTGAGCTGCTTGCGAGGGGCCTTTTTATGAATTCTCCATTGCTACCTTAAACATACAAAGGCACAGATGGGCATGCAGTCCAAAGAGACACATGCAAGTGATGAGAACCGTTCAGCCCCCACCTCTACCTCATCCTGGAGCAGAGCTGGTCCTTCCTCGTACTACTCAAGACATGAATTTATTTTCTGAAATATACTCAGGCAGCTTCACTTCAAGATCATTAAGGACTTTTATACACGTGCCTTGTTCCCTAGATATCTTTATAATAACTGTTTTTTAATATTAACTATCGTTGTGTTGGAAGTGATTATTTGCTAGCCCTACTCAAAGGCATGGAAGTTTCTGGCTGGAATCCTTAATGATGCCCATGTTAAGAATGCCCTGGTTACCAAAAGTTTTGTTTCTTGCACAAAATGGGTTCTACCTGATCTTGTGAAATTATTTTCAGGCTTAAGTTCTGTTCCAAGTTTGGCATGAGGTACGTGATAAATAAGCACCCTTTGGTAATAAAATGGTCCCGTCACAGCCAGCTATTGCCACCATGCTAAATGCATAAACTGTGTACCTTGACTCTTTTAAGGAAATTTCGAAAGTTATTTATGACTTCGCAGAAGTTAGAGGGGAAGAAAACAAAACTCCTAATTCCCATTACAGTTTTCTAATAAACATACCTGACATTGGTGAGTTAATAACTTTGTGTCTGTTCTAGTCAGTCATCCCATAAGTATTTACTTAAACCAGACACTGTAGCTGCTGGAGAAACTGCACCCTGTGTTCTGTGGCTCATCAATGGAGATGGACAGGCAAATGAAGACATAATTCACAGCATCTTAAAAAAATGAGCATTTTTGTATTTGGGGTGATTTTTTAATGTGACATTTTTACGTTATACTTAAAAAGTCATTATTGTTTCCAAGATGCTTTTTTCCACTTTTTTCTTGTTGTTGTTTGATTGATTTGGTTTTTATGATACAGGGGTTCTCTTTTTTGTACTGGATCTGTTTAGACCAGGCTGGCCCTGAAATGAAAGATCTGCCTGCCTCTGCCTCCCAAGTGCTTGGATTAGAGGCATGTGCCACCACTGCCTGGCCTGACACCACATTTTCAAACAGCGTATCTGTCCAGTGCATTCACTGTCTAATTATTTTCTCATCAGTATTTACCAACAAAACAGTTAATGGCCTATCAAGCTGATGTTTTGCCAACAAGAAAAAGTAACAGATAAAAAATTAACATCATCTTTTCCTTCAGCTGTGTATCACTTTCTTAGGCAGATACACAATTCTGAGTATTTCAAAATACTAAAAATCTCCATTACTGACTCAAAGACTCAAAAACTGTTCCAGTTTCCACATTTATTGACACTACCCTAATGTTTTTGTTTTGCTTTGTTTTGTTTTCCTGCTGAGATATGGCTCCTCGGCCTTTTTCTTTACATCTATTTTGAGTGCTTTTAGAGGGTAGGAATGGAATTGGAAAAGAAAACAAATTTATAGCCTTCTGCTTAACTCAAATTTACAACTTTGCCACTTAACAAGAGGCTGCCTAACAGGCATGAAGCGTTGGTTGTATTCGATGACCCTTGCTGTTAATTTATGCTCTGATGGGTGTTAGCTGGACAGGTATGGGGTGGGGCCATACAGAGGAGCAGAGTAAATGTGGCTGAAGTAGGCTCAGGGGCTCCTGGTTAGAACTGCCCGAGGGGCCGAAGTGACCTTTCAGAGCCCATGCTGTTCCCCTTCAGATCCTCCACATACCAATCAAATCTCCAGTCTCAGTACTGAACTGAAATAAAATGTTAACTTTAAAACCACAAGTATGGGGGATACTCGCCAGAGGTAGAAGATTTAGCATAACACTGTCAATAAAAATTCAGCCTCCCCAGGGAAAGACTATGTATAGGAAAAGGATATTAGGCCTGTGGTCAATGGCTTAAAAAGTGGAGAGAATTCACAAAAGATCTCCATCACTTCATTTCCTTAAGCTTGACCTTCTTTTAGAGTCCTTTCTAAGAAAAAAAATCTTGTTGATGAGAATGTAATGATAATTGTTTATGTTTATGGAAAGAGTGTAGGACATGCACTTGGTGCCTATGAACCAAATCAGGACAGCTTAAATTGTTCTATCTCCTTGCCATCTCCATGTTCAGAGAGCTTGCCTCTCCCCCTTACAAAACACATTATAGGTTAGTGGAAACTACAGCCCCTGACCGTGGACTAGAATACTAAAATTAAGCAACCCTGTTAGCTGTTTTACCATCCATCCCCACCCTCTCTGCCCTCATCCTTCGCACATGTTCCCATTTGGTGTTTCTCTTACATTTGGTGTTCCTCTCTCTCTCTTTAATAATCTTATATAATATGAAACAAAGTATCAAGATCGTTCATAGGAATTACCAGTTTGGTTGAGGTTACTAATGACTTCACTTGTTTGTATTCTTCCCTTGGTATACTTCAGATATTTTACAATGAACTTGCTTTTTAATGAAGAAAAACATATTAAGAAAAAGTCATAAATAATGAGAGTTGTAAAGCTATATATATTAAGAATTCCTACATGTTTTCTTGCTATGGCAAAGTAGATTTATTTTTACATATTTGGTATGTCCTGCATGGCTCAGCACCTGATAACCAAATAATATGTAGGTGTTCTCAGCTGGGTTTTCTCACCATGGCAGATAATAATAATAGCCTAAAACTAGAAACTGTGGATAAAATATTTTGGTTTGTGTTAGGTCTCAAACCCAGGGCAAATGGCTGAGGTTCCTATTTAACATATCAAAGTGGACCTGGCCCTCTGCCAGGTTCTCCCTGTATCCCTCAGTCTGCCTATTACAGAGCACTTCTGGCTAGCATGCCCCCACCCCTAAACACTTCAGCCAGGTATTGGAGCTGGACTGTTCTTTCTCCAGCTGCCCTCCCCTGTAATATCCAGCCATATTGGTTACTTGTCTTTTTGTCTATTCTCTTGGCCAGCCTCTTGGCCCAGGCTGCCCCTCTTGGTTGACAGCTATTCTCTCCTCTCCATTTCCTCACCTCACCGCACATGACTCAGGGTCTTGTCCACTCTGGATTCTCCCAGATGTCCCTGCCTCTGGCTATGCTCTCCTTTTTATCTATAATAAACTTTCTCCTCCACTATACCCAGGAGCAATCATGTCCTTTTTTCTTTTTTTTTTTTTCTTCATTAATCTTGTTTGCTAAGTATTACATGATTGATTATCAAACAGAATAAATCAAACTATCGCTGAGTTATGGCACAGTTTTTCTTTCTAGATGCTCTAATTTCCAAAGTTCCGATGAAGCCTATAAAGGAGCATCAGACCACTTCCTCTGTTAAGCATTTTGTAATGAAGCTAGAGTCCAAGGACACATAACAGCCAGTGAGTTAATTATCAGTTCAGTCAGTGATCCTGCTTTAAAACACTGCCTTGTGCAGTGCCTGTCACACAGAGACCCTGACGGGTAGAGGGTGGACAGAGGGACCCAGAAATAGAGGGTAGGCAAAGGTGTGAGCAGAAGGGCATTTGGGTAGACTACAGAGACTACTGGACAATGTTGTTTGAATTCCAGTTAATCTCTTGACATTTTATTGATCCAAGAATACTTCAAGAAGTAAATGGACCAGCTAGGTGTATGGGAGCTCAGAGAGTAGACAGGGTTTTGTTCTGTGGAAAGGAGGAACAAGGAAAGTTAGACCAAGGACTTTATATAGAAGTCAGTAAGGCTTTCACCAGACACTGGAGTAAGAGGGGCTTCCATGGAGCATAGGCCTGGTGAGGAGGTTGCTTTCCAGTTTGCACAGCACGGTATCCTAAAGAGTTACTAATTTTAAGCAACCTGTAGATATGGCCTGCTATGAGAATTTTTGCCTAAAATAATTAATACAAAAATTAAAAAATGTTTTAGGAAAATCAAGTTTACTTTTGTGTTCACTAAAAATATTAAGTGTGGTTTAAAATAAAATGGGGATTTTACAAATTCAGTAGGAATTTCAAAGTAATTTTAGAAGGAACTGAACATGTAGATTGTGCTGCACCATCAGTAAACTAGTTGTATTTTACTGACATTTTGGAGATAGTTACATCAAATTCATGTCTAGATCAGCTCATATTCTAATTGAAAACTAATGGATTTGAAGACAAGAAACCGGTGTAAAAGTCTACAAGTCTCCAAATATTTTATGCATATAATATAATGAATTTTTATATGCTAAATGAAAGGAAATCATTTTTGCTTTTTGGGGTATTTAATCTAATTATTAGATATGTCAGAAAATTGATATTTATTCCATGTGAGTCCTACTTACACTGAGAAATTGTGTACATTATCATTTTCTTTAAAGTTATTAGTAATTTCATCTCATAAATCAATGATATCAACATTTTTAATGCAAGTGAATATCAGTAGGGTCTTGCATCTAAATAGTCGGAATCCAGCTTGACCGCTGACGCACTGCTCAGTTTGGACAAGTGTCTCCCTGTGTCTTGGTTTCTTCATCCATGAGTGATGACAGTCATCACACTAGCATCTTTGAGTTGTCAGAAGGACTAAATATGGAATGTAGACTGGTATCTAATATATGGGAACAATTCACAAAGGACTGTCATATTGCTAGTAACACTGCATAATCAACAAATGATCGTTTCTTATTGGGATTATTTGTTTTGCTTTTCAAGTCTTGCCAGGAGGATCGTCAGGATCCCCTAGGTTGTGTCTGCCGTCTCTGTTGAATGGCACCATGAGTCAGTGTGGGGAGCAAAGGTTGATCTAGCCACAATAAAGCTGACCCGCCTCTTGCCTTCCACAGTGAGCCATCTGTATGGATTTGGACTGATGGATGCGGAAGCCATGGTGATGGAGGCAGAGAAGTGGACAACTGTTCCTCAGCAGCACGTGTGCGTGGAGAGCACGGACCGACAAATCAAGTAATGCTTGCTGCCTAGTGGCAGACTGACAATCCCCAAAACAAGGCCGGCCAACTGCTTAAAACATGGAAGCTGGAGGCATCTGATGCTTCTTTCTAGTGTAGCTATAAAGTTGAGTAGAATGTTATACCTGAAGATCCTTCGAAGGGAAGTGTTCTTTCCAAGGGAAGCCCTGAACTCATAGGCTGTCCTACATTTCCTACTTGTCAGTGTCCTTGCTTGATGAAGCAAGAATTCTTCCAGATCTTTATGTTCTCAAACTCAACTAATTCTCCAAAGACTGTGGGGAAATTGAGAGCAAATGTGCTCACAGATCCCTGAGAGTCACAGAGCCTGTTCTCCAGGGTTAGCTGCACACACTCAGAGGTTGTATTTGCAGAGTTGACCCAAGAAGCGTGTGAAGTCGTTCCCACTTGCTTGATCCAAAGAACACCATTCATCTTGGTGGCTTTTCTAGAGTTCTTGGCTTTCTTCTCAGAAACCTCTTTGCCTGGAAAACTTTGTGAACTATATTTATGGTTTGTGATGAACATACAGCCTTATAATCCTGGAGGAAATGTGTTAGTAAGCAATGAAAATGGAATAAAGTTGTAGTTTGGTTTTGTTTTAAAATTTTCCCCATTGATCTCTTTTATGGTACAGACTGAGAAATAAAGGGGAGGGGAAAGTTCTTTACCCAGCACTTACGAACACAAAGCCCTTGGCTCCCCATCTCCTTTCACTTGCATCTTTCCCTTTAAATGGCCCAGTCATTTGAGGGTCTAGCACTGTTTTTGCTCAATATCCAGGGGCCAGCTGCTGCCTCTGTCTTGAACTCTCCTTTCAAGCCCCCAGCCCTCTCACCTGATTACTTCCATGTCTTTTGTTCAAACCCTTACTCTCTCTCCTGCCAGGACCATTCGCCCCAACAGTGCAGTGCGCTCCATCTACAAAGCCTCCGGCTGCTCGGATAATCCTAACCATCACGTCAATTACCTGGAGCATGTAGTCGTGCGTATTACCATCACACACCCTCGGAGGGGAGACCTGGCCATCTACCTGACCTCACCCTCAGGAACCAGATCCCAGCTTTTGGCCAACAGGTACAGTGAGGGCCTCTACCTACCACAGTGGAAACCACAGCTATGTTTGCTCTGCGCTTGAAGGCCATTTGTTCCTTATCCTAAAAAGGGACAGAGACAGTGGAAGCGTTTGCAGATGAGAGTTTGTGGGAACATAGACTTGGAGATCTTCAAGTTCATTCCATTTCTGTGCATGTACTTCCTGTGTTCTCATGAAACCAACCTCTTCCTTCTGGGCATAGGGAACCCGTTGGTGTGCGGTGGTGGGAAGCGGTAGAGAGGAGTGAAGAGGAGCCTTGCTGTGCCCCTGGTGCCCTGTAGGTTGGTCTCCAAGACATTTCTTTGCCTCAAGGAAGAGGTGAATGTGGAAGATTTAGAAGGAGCCTGTGTGCCTGAGGTTATGCCTATGCGCAGTGACATTTAGCCTGTGTTTTGAAGAGTGAAGATTCATAGCTGAGTGTGGTGATACCTGCCTCTAACTCTGGCTCTAGCAAGGCTGAAAACAGAGGATTTTGAGTCCAAAGCCAGCCTGGGCTATATAGCAAGAACAGCCTGTCTCAAAATAAATAATTTAAAAAAAAAAAAATTAAGAACCAGAGAAACAAAGTAGAAATATCTGAAGGGGAGTATTCTAAACAATGACCACAATTAAAAAGTAGGAATTAAATTTTTAAAGCACAGTTTCTCTAGCAAGGCAATTAGAAGTCACACATTCACCTCTGGTGGCAAAGGATTCCCATCTCCTCTGGCCTCAGCCCTGCCTGCATGTTTACTAGCCTGCCTGCCACTGTGGAACCCTGTGTCCCTTTAAAATCTTGGTGGCTTTTTTTTTGTTCGTTTTGTTTTGTTTTGTTTTGTTTTGTTTTGTTTTGTTTTGTTTTGTTTTGTTTTGTTTTGTTTTG